CATGGAAGCCACACTTACACTGCTTTACTTCTATTAGTGCATTTATGAGGCAATCAATCGTAAACAGGTATTCCTTAAGGAATTCGATTTTAATATTTGATTTCTTTTGTGAAAGGAGACTCACGATTTTTAGCGCTCACATTTAACTTTTGAATTTAGCAGAGATCCTTGTAGCGTTTGCTAAAGTTTAATTAATCGGTCGCATTAAACTACGACACGTGCTTCAATATGTTGTCAAGTATGGTCCATTGCAAGTATGTTTTTACTTTTAGATTTGCACACACGATATCTTCTTCAAAGTACACTGCAAAGGGTAGCCAAGCATGTGCATCGTTAGGCAAGCATCGTGTGTGTATTTGCAAATAAAGACGAAGTTTACGATGCCCCGGGTCATGTAGCTCCTCCCAGTACTACGAGACCAGTACTAGTTGTTACAACTACGAAATAAACTTGACTATAAATAAAATTTGCGTGTTAGCTACCATTGCGTGGCAACCTTAGACAAATAACTGCTCTCGGCAACATTCTATGACCACGTGTCTTTGACCACGTGTAATTGTAGACGGCAACGATCTTAGACCTAACCGCATTCGGCAACGTTCTAAAACCTCAAGCATCCATAGTCAACAACGTGTAACCGCATTCGGCAACGTTCTAAGATCACATGCATCCGCAGTCAGCAAGTTTGTACGACAACAAACGACCACATTCGGCAACGGTCTATGACCGCATTTGACCGCATTCGGCAACGTTCTAAGATCACATGCATCCGCAGTCAGCAAGTTTGTACGACAACAAACGACCACATTCGGCAACGATCTATGACCGCATTTGACCGCATTCGGCAACGTTCTAAGACAACATGCATCCGCAGTCAGCAAGGTTGTACGACAACGTGCGACCGCATTCGGCAATGTTCTGAAACCATACGTAACCGGAGTCAGCACGGTTGTAAGACGAAGTGTAATGGCAGGAGGCTTAAATTGCATGGCAAGGTTGCATTAGCTAGACCCAGGTTTTGTTATGACAAGTTATACGGGGATCAGAGTGACACACATGAGTCATGCCTACAGTACTGTACCAGGGCCAGGCTCGTGTTAGGTCTCCCATACAATTGTTGGGTAACCTTACACACGTACTGCCTTTCCGTTGGTAAAGTAGCAAGGGGGTTCATTATACCGTCAAATTAGCTTGATTTCACATGTAAATTAAATTGTGCAATGCATTAAGCTGTTGAATTTGTTTTCTTTGTGTAAATGTTACTCGTATGTTCCTACACAAAGTGTTGATATTGTTTTCTCGACATTAAGCACTGGACAACACGAAATGCACGTGTTTTGATGACGTAAATAGTTGCCCAACACAAGCATCTCATTAGATAAAGCACTTTACATCACGAGAGTGTTTATAGAGGTATATATAGGTTTATAATCTAAAGTGTTAGTAATCACTTAACCTAGGTTTGGCGACCTTCACTTTATAGAAAGCAAACGGAATAGGCTTTCGCTCATGTTGGTAGTTATACCCATCTACTTTAAAATTGAATTATTATTTAAACGGTTGTTTAGATATTATAAAAAAAAATATCAAAGGATGTCTGTCAGTCTTGACACATTTTTTCTATATGTTTCCGTGGTACACTCAGTAATAATCACTTTGGTGCAAGCTCCTTAAAATTCATGTATATTTGGTTACAGCTCTACATCTGGCCGTCCATGACAGCTCTGGGACATCGTCCGTATTGTCCCCATGTGTTGTAATGTTCATCAAACTGTCCCGACTGTAACAGATTCTTGACCTCTCGATGACACCAGTTGACCTAGTGACTTTTGTTACCAGGGTGACAGGGGTATCTGTTACCCGTCCCTCCCCTGGACAATATACACGGGGTAATCAGCCGTCCAAACACGTTTATTTACACACCGTCAGTCTTGCACCTGACGGGAACAATGCTTCTTGTCACATTTGCATATATGTAAACTTTCGCTTCTTGTAACAGTATGTATAGTTTTACAATGTATGTTACACACACATTTTGACGTACACCTGACCGAAATCTCGATTTTACCGTATTGCGTGACATACTTGAACAGGCATTACTGATGCACAATTTCATTAAAAACACATCATGTATATACGACGCTAGGTCGAATATTTAGGATGGCGGAATTAGGTCGATCAGCAATGAATCTACGAGAACAAAACAGACATGGAAAGATGCACTAACGAAAATAGCAGGAATATGAGCATGAAGCATACGACAGCTGAGCCATGCGATCCTTGTCTATCATAGTTTAAGCTCTATATTTTAAATAAAGAACATTAGTTTTTGTCATGATTGTTTGTTGTTGATGTACCCTTATCATCTCTAATCAATAACCACGTCAATTACCATAGACACGCGCACGATTACGTCTACAGCCACTGCAGCCCTAAGGCTCTCGCCTGTGTGGCTTCTGTTACACGGTAACATGCCTCGGCTCTCACGGACAACCACTACATTATATAATATAGAGCTAATAATTGCATCGAGAAATTGTTTATTGACTTTAACAAAACATAATCACGGCTTCCCAGTCACTCACGGCTGCTGCTCTCGTTAGATTGGGTCGTCTAATGTTCGGGAAAATAGACTAAATTTACCATTTAGGCGAGATTGTCTATTACAAAAGGTCAAGATGTATTAAAAGAAACTGTCAAAATCCTGTTCATGGATAAATGGAGAAGACTAAACTACGGAAATGAACCGATTCTCCAATTCTGATCCGAGACTAAACAAGAAAACACACAGGGGCTATGTACGACAGGAAGGTGTACAATATCAATTAAAAACGAACACCTGGTCCTAATTTTGTGAAAATTTAGTACAAAAGAAATTTTAGAAGTCTAAACTAAAAACCACTTTTCAACGGAAGCGGGAGTAAACTACTACCAGCCGTTCCTAAACGGGAAGTCGGTGGTAATACTGTTAGACGAATGAGTTACTAAAGACGTCAGCAGTAGTCGGGATGTCGGTGTTAATACTGTTAGACGATATCGTGACTAAAGACGTCAGCAGGTAATACTGTTAGAGGAAGCGTAACTAAAGGCGGCAGCAGTAGTGGGGATGTCGGTGGTAAGACTGTTAGACGAAATCGTAACGAAAGACGTCAGCAGTAGCGTCAGCAGTAGTGGGGGTTAGACGATATCGTTACTAAAGACGTCAGCGGTAGTGGGGAAGTCGGTTGTAATAATGTTAGACGAAGCCGTAAGTGAAGACGTCAGGTCGGTGGGAATACTGTTAGACGAAATCGTAACTAAAGCCGTTAGCAGTAGTGGGGGAGGCGGTGGTAATACTGTTAGACGAAATCGTAACGAAAGACGTCAGCAGTAGTGGGGAAGTCGGTGGTACACTGTAATACTGCTGTGTTAGAGTGCAACATCATGAGGTTTACAAACTCACAATGAACGAAAACATGTTAAGTATGTTTACGTGAGAAGCTCTTGACAATAGCTTTAACACATGTTTTACATTTAACACAGAATCCAATGTATCTTACAGACACGTGTTTCAAGGCCATACAGGGAAAGTTAAAGTATAAGACGGTGGGATTGCGCCTGAGGCTACGCATGTATAACATAAGTAAATGTCTATTACACTCATCTCATACATCAAGCACGTTAAATAATGTTATAAAACTGATTTTTTTTGTCATTGACACAGTATCATAGGTACAGCTTTAAAAGGTCGATCTGACTCCCGCTATATAATGGCTGGGTAACGCCATCTACTCGTTAGGGTAAGCAAACAAGCATATCGCGAGTTATCGGAGCTTCCTTCTCGCCAGTAATGATCGGCGATGTGTTGGCTGAGCGTCGGAGTGACAACATGGCCTTTAGCCCGCCTGACAGGGCAACAGCATACACCTTGACCCGAATTAACACTACTCGACGGGATATTGTGTAATTATTGACACAGAGCATGCTAGTGGGCTAGGTCTGTAGTATATTTACTGTATTTATAGATTACAACGTAGAGTGCGCGTGTAGTTTATAAGGTAAGATGTCCATTAGTGTCACTAAGATCAACATAAATAATCATATTTGTAGATTTTGTAAGAAAAGTTTCCCCTACCTTTTTCAATATATACATCATTATCTCCACATGAGATCTTGGGCTAATGTTTAAATTAAGATTTGACAGGGAAATTGACAGTTAGATCAATGGATTTGTAATGTAAGATCTGTAATATATACGTCTCTGTCCTTGGTTTGGTGTCCTGACGGGTGCTATTGTAGTTTACACGGTAACAGTGATGGCTATAGGAGTCCAGACGGACCATCCAAGCATGGTTAAGAAATGCACGGTATTGACGCCTGCGTTATGTGACTTTTATGTGATAATGTACTTCCCGTCTTAAGTTATTAGCTGTATACTGTCGATGTAACCCAGATACGTACACAGTCCCTCTCCCCTCCTCCCCCCTTTTGGTAGAGCCTCCTGTTGGAGTGTCACAGAGCTAGAAAACAGTCTACTCAGTGTCACACAGATATGGTACACTGCACCCTCTCAGCCCATTCCATCCCAACCAAACCCATAACCCCCACCCATGCAGTGTCGCCGAGCTAGACAATAGCCTCCCTACGACGTCTCCAAGATACGGCACCCCCATCCACCCCCTAAAGTGTGCCCGAGATAAGATGCGAAGGCTCCGCGGTAACATCGCCCTCAGTTACGTTTAAAGTGTGGTGACATCCTCAATTATAACAATATGTTTAACACCTTGAGAGTTTTTATCGATATCATAAACTTAATTTAATTCACGGGAACAAAACAGGTAACTAAACAGGTAAGGTAAAGGTATAGAATGTCCTGTTTTAATATGAGAATAAATCTAAAACCCTTATTAATCATGATCAAATATTTGATTAATGTCACTCTGTATAACAAGTCAACACAAAGCGAGGGAGTACATTAAATCGTTACCATGGTAGCGGATTGTTATCATTGATGCACCTACCTTGTTTGGTGTCCCGGAATGTATAGGGCTGTCTAGTCCAAGTTACACTTGCTAGACATAGTAACGATAGCACCAACAATTCAAACGAGCGCTGGGATGAGGGAGACAACATTCTCAGCCTCCGTATCTGTCACAAATCTAAACAAATCACGACACTTAGCACTCACGCGCACAAACACACACGTGCCCCTCTACCGGTAATATATTTCCAATGTAAGACAGTATATACACATCCTGACCGGTAATTTTAGGTTGTAAGACTTTCATTGATGGATCCTGTAGGTATAAGCACATTGTGTGCACCACTCCGACAATCCGGTAGAACTTAAAGCTAACTGTTGCTGTAGATATACACCCATGCTCTCTGTATATATTGTGATCACAGCGCCCGACGATACCATTGGAGGACGGTATAGTAGGTGTGTATTCGTACCGGTGCTGTATACCGTAGTATTACATAGGGGGAGTTCAGGGTCATTAATACCACAACACACCAAACAGCACCTGCCACCCCTACGGTAAACATAAACCCAACCGTATAAATATGAAACAATTTTATAGTAAGTTCATTGTCTCCACGCCAAACCTGGTATATTCATTCACGAGAGCTTCAGTCAGTCGGTGTGACCTGCAATCGATATCGCGGATCAACGCGAGAACATATTTATCAATGAGATCACCTGGATTCACACCTGAAAATTGACATATATTTATGTCAGTGATTTCATCGCTGCACCATTTAAAGCGCCAGACTAGAAATCACAGGTACACATTTTTTTCACGTCTGCCGAGCTTTTAACGTTGACTTTCACTCGTTACAGGTGTTAAAAGCCTGACCGTATTGTGTATGTCTGTCGCGAAAGCCGGTGTTATTGGCACCTCAACAATACTTAATGCCACGAGTCATTTTAACCCACCAATTTAACGAACAATTTTGAAACTCTATATAAACACTCGCTCCAAATCTACTGAGTTGTGAAAATTATGTCCGGAATACAGCTAGTAGATGTATGTAGTCACCGCACGCTTTCTGCTTCATAGATACATAATTCAAGTAAACAACCGGGGAAACAAGTTTGCATAAGGTAGCTCAAGATTTATCATAATAATACAGTTACAGTGGACCTTAATATGGAATTAGATATCAATCCAAAACCGACACCAAAGGCTAACCCAACACATAATAAACGAAACAAAAGGCTAACCCAAAACATAATAAACGAAACAAAAGGCTAACCCAAAACATAATAAACGAAACAAAAGCCTGTCTGAAATTCTTCATAAACCTTCTTACAAGTTCATAAAAGTTTAAATTTGTTAAATCGTATTAATAAAGAAATTATTTCATTTTAAGGATTCATTCCATACTTTTTTAACATTAAAAGAATTTATGAATTGGCAAAACATTTGTTCTTGTACGTTTCTAGAAAATGCGGTTTTTACTCGCTCCTGCCTCAGTATGATCACGATATACTGCCGCAAGTTAAAAAACACACACTCACACACATTACGGTTGTGTTTTGATAATAGCCACAAATACCATAATACAGCAAATACTGTGACACCTAGACATCTACTATAAAAAATCGTTACCCTTTACCATAACCCAAAGAGCCAGTACGTGCACATCAGTGTCTCCAACGATAACTTTCTTAAACATCTTAAGACAATCACTTGAACTGAGGAGTGTGGGCCTGGCTTTTGTGTATACGTTTCTTTATATACTTGGTATTTTGTTATTTGCCTTCAAGTTACTATGTAACTATAAATGAGCAATACAATTATTGAATTGATTTGAATTGTAAAAATCCTCACGAATTAAAAGATACGCTTTTACAAGAGTATTGCCATAGATTCTACAGAATTTGATTCAGTAGATATCCCGAATTCACAACAATTTGATAATGGTTTCGGGCAGGTTCCGTCTCGCCAGTTTGGTTAATCGCTGTAATGCTGAGTGGCCCAGTTACATGTACTACAAATAGTCCGTGGGTTTCGGGAGGGTCCACGTTTACTATAAATGCACAAAGTCTGCATCATGAGTCATTCCGTTACACACACGTGCACCAAAATTTAAAAAAGAGGTGACACTGAACGCTGGAGTCTGCAGCTGTATATTTTCTTACATTTTTTGTCAAATATTCGTCACGCTGGTTTCAGCGCATGCCCAATTGAGTCACGATCGTAACGTAATCGATGAAAGGTTGTTTGTCTAATCTCAACATGCAACCTGTAACATAAGGGTTGATGTATGGCCCATCGGTGACGTCACGACACTGTGTTACCAGTAGGTCTTTCCGGCAGTTGGCATGAGAACATAGACTCGATCCGCCCTGTCCTGCTGGAGGCTGGAAGTTTGGAACCGTTTTTGTCAAAGTGTTTGCGCCGTCAGAAACTGGTGCTAACAAACGGTTCAGGAGCGTACGAGGTATGTCTAACATTTGCACGTGCGCGTTAAACCGTTTTAAACGCCAGTACAAAGCCTAGCGACTCTGTTGTATTGCACTTACGGTGACAAATAGACGCCATCATCTCGCAGCTACCTCACATCCGTTTTTGTAAAAGTATCGTGCTTGCAGTACTTCAAGAGTAAGATGAACTTTACGAACAGAACCCAAGGGTGTTATGTAATACAGTGTTAGTCTTGGTTAACGTCAATAAACGATAGGTGTAGACGGGCGAGCATAGAACTCCACATAGATCGCCACACACTTTGGTATTAGCTATTCGTGTATGTACTGGACTTATGCCATGTTCCAGATTTTCTGAGAAATTGAGTATTCAATACTTAAAATCATAAATAGAGATCGAGTTTTCGTATTGTTTCAATTTCCGGTTCTATAACCCTAAACTCAGAAATATCGATTAGTGTTCTCTCATTACTATCTTCATTAGACGGGGTTTATGTGGTTTTAAGATTAATGAATATGTTCCCCAATTCTTATTGTTAAAACAATATGTTACACTATATAATTTTGTCCATAATCGCGTGTCACACATTTATGCCCGTGTCACTACTTGTAAAGGCTGACCCATGACCCGTGTAGTGGTCAACGCACGGTTATCGCCCCTTTCTATCACTCCGGCAGATATTTCGTATAACGGACAATGTCCCGAATAAAATTGTTCAATGGTCAATGACCTAAGACAATATTAACTATTGGGATTCTATTTCAGCCGTCCGAGATGAAAGCGGAGTCACCGCCCGTAGGGGACCACTGTACCACATTGTACATGTACGTATATACATACACGTGTATCGACCCCTTGACGAAATTGCAGAGTCACGTTTAATTGGCTATACATTGTAAGTAAACGGTAATGAGCTGGTATGAGGTTGCTGTCAATTTATACCTACTTATACATGATAAACGACGTATTAATCGTGTATAAAACACCCGGGGGTCAACACAATACACCTAACTAAGGAACACTGGGTTCGATTTTCGTTTAATTTTATTAAATTGCAAATTACACCACTTTTAAAATCTTCTCATTTGTACCTAATCACATCACCTGGCCCAAACCACAGGGGGTGGATAATCAAATATCAGAAAATAATGGTATTGTTCGTGGACTAGCAAGCTTCAGTGTACTTCTATCGGGGTGTAATGTTTGACATTGATGTTTTCACTTTGACAGATAGATGGCAAATAAAAACACGTTGATAATTGAAAAATAAAACACCCGACACCTTTATGAGTTCAATGAAAACATTATCAACGCTATATCACATTGGCAATTAGGTTGAATAACAGGGGTAATATAACGGAAAGCTACGTAAAACGTTGTTAGAAAAACAAACTATATGAAATGTTGTTAGAAAAACGAACTATAAAGCGGAGCTCTCTTGGAAAGCTCCGAGATAGCTTTTAAGAATCTTTCATCATATTCAATTATCATGACAGATACACGATTTGCGAAAGGAAATGATTTTCCCGGAAGCTTAATTAGGCATTTCCAGTGTATTAAACAACTCAAATGATCCGATGTCCTGTCAGAAGTTACAGCATATTCCCCGTCGATATACGCACTACAAACTTTCAAATATCGTCACAGAAATTACGGAGTACTTCCGGTAGACTCACACATCTATCCCATAAGCTACTAATGACTCTGCGACACAAGCACTGATTACACATCAAAAGTTTCTCCAGCCCCTACAGCAGGTTCAGTTACTGATTGTACACGACTTGACCACTTGATACCCATTGTATGATCGTATGAGGCGACTAATGTGATGGGTTCCACATTAATCTCCTCATACTGATGATCATTGATTCTTGCATCTCATCTCATAGGTAAGACATCAATGAAAGGCTTTTGGTGATATTATTTATCAGCGTGTTTAATTCTGCGTGACACATAAGTAACTAAAACTGTTTTGTTGTCCCCATTACAGCACGTGTAACCTTTCTCTTTTCATTTCTCTCAATCACGGTGTCTTCGGCGGAGTATCTATGTACACTGTTAACTACATCATGTTGTATATGTATGACAGTGAAACAGGGATGGGGTTTGGGCAGAGGCGTTACAACACACACGTTCTTGGTTTCCATTCGTTTAATTTTCCCAGATTTTACACCTCTATCAATGTGACAAGGGTTCCATTAAAATCCTGATAATCCAGTATATAACTGCAGGCGAATCTTTTCTATATGGTCAACCCCTCCAACATGTCTGCCAGAACTGATTTTTCACTCAGGTGAATTGCATGGGCAGGTAAGAAAGGTCACATGACCAACAGGTAAGTATGGGGTTACAGGTCACAAACAGGTCACAGGTCCCAGAACAAAACATAAACAAAAGCACATGACACTGAACAACTGACACATGGAAAATGACACTGAACAAGACTAGATACTGCAAACAATACATGTACACCTGAACAAACAAGACATAATTACACATTAAACTCCACTCATATTACTTCATTCATCCACCTTTCGTAAAACATTATAATTTAATTACTAACACTATCCCTGATACTTGGACAGGCTATCCCTGCCACAACAGTATTGTCGTTAGGTGTCAAGCTACCATGTACACGTTACAGCATTTCAGCGAGATAACCTTCAAAGAGGCCGTTGATCAGCGACCCCATCATATTTAGAGACCGTCTTCATTAATGTGTGTAGGATCTGTTCCTAGGACCCACCGTCCTTAAATGACCATAGCTGTTGATAGGACGTTAAACAATACTAAACCACTAAACCAAACCTAGGACCCAAAACCATATAAATAAAAAGGAAACTAGCTACATGTCCGGTACACATGCACTGGCACAACTGAAATGTCGTCATAGAAACTATGTCGTCATTTGCTCTAGTAAAGGTCAATGGTTTACCCAAAAGCTGCTGGAAAACCATGATAACTGGTCAGATTCAATTTGAAAGCAAATGGACCGACTTTCCAGTCACATGGTGATTGTGAACCTGACTAGAACTACGTCAAAGCCATGGTCTGGAGAGCTGTGTGACGTCATGGAGTGTGTTAATACAAGTCTACACAAATCTTTGATAAACCGAACCAAGGTGAAGGTCAAATGTGATGGTATGTTTTGGGAAGCCAAAACCAGTCGAGAATAGCTAACATCTGAGTTTATAAAAAGCGAGCCAGGAACTGACGCTTGTTGATAAACCATAAGCTATCGAAACGTGAATGGAACAGTGTGTACATAACACATCGCAGTCATTACTGG